CATAATCGAGTCTAGGGGTCAGGTGTAACTTTCCAATTTTGCCCATCTGTCTCCAAGGTCCAGGGCAATACTAGAAATCTGGTCCAGTTCAAGGATTCGAGTAATCCCATACTGCAGACGCCTTGGGTCTTACCCTGGTGGCCGAGACAGGCCATCCCAACACTTGCGGCACATTAGTATTAGCCTTAGTAGGATAAATCTCCCCAGACTTATCCAATGGCTGTGAACATTTAAAACTAACACAAGTCTCATTAAGTGTCCAGCTTTAGGGTCTTACACAAAATCATACCAAACAACATGAATCAAACATATACTTTATTTATTTACACTAAATATCAAAATTACATCAAATCAGATTGAAGCTAAGGGCATACAAAACTGTCTAACATAATTTTCACTGGTTAACCTGATAGGTAAGTAGTGTATACTGTTGGGGAGTTGAGGAACGGAGGTAGAGTTCTCTATCAAGAAAGAATGTTGAGTGGAGTTCTGGGACATAGGGGGCAGACTAGTTGACGGAAGCCTTAAGTATAAATGGCTCTGATACCAAGTTAAAGAAAGCAAACAGAGAAGTGGTTGAAATCTAGTTTGATGGGTGATCAGCCATACAACCAACAAGTATTTATAGTAGGTAATGTGTAGAGCTTATCACTATGTGCAAAGCTTATCGCATAATACAGAGTTTGGGATCAACATAAATACATGAGATAAATATTAAGTAAGTTGTGTCCTATATGTTGGCTTCCTTCTATTAGTTCGAAAAAAATTCTCATCTGACTGAAGAAAACAACAATTTTGATGGGAAGATTGTTTGGTTGGGGGCTTACTACAGAGGCTCAACGTTAAATTAATAGCCATATTAACGTACCTGGACAGAAAGTGAAAGTGGTTACATTTCCTTCCTCACATAGGCACAAGAAACTATGTTTCCCAATATCAAATCCACATGACCCTCCTCCCCTGCATTCATCATGGTACCGAAGGAAACGGGTGGTCACCGAGATTGGTAAGTGATGGCATTGGGGTAGTATAAACCTGTGATAGAGATGCATTGGGAAATCAAGCAATTAAGGTTTAAATTTTGTTGTAAGGCTTACTTAATTGTTACTTTATAGCTGCTATTAGTAGGACAGTTACAGTTACTTGTTTTTCTTCTTTATTTTTTCTTATTATTCTGATTATAGGATATGCCGCCAGGGGCATACTTGTAATTTCAGATTCTTTTATGAAGTTAATATAAATAGAAAATTGGCGACAGCCAGTAGACACTTTTTCTCTCAACCGTACCTCTCTCTTCCTCTCTCTCTCTCTCTCCTAATCCTCACGAATCACCACATGGTATCAGAGCTGGTTTTCTGGGTTGAGAAAGACCTACGATCCTGGTATCAGGTTTCTTAAAAGTGTTTGGGCGTAGTTGTTTCTGCAAAAACCTTAGCAGGTTTCTAGTGGTTGTTTATGTAGAAACCCTAGCAGATTCAGGTGGCAGTTTTTTTTTTAGGAAACCCTAGCAGTTTCTGGTGGCAGCTCTTGTGATTTCTTTTTCCTAGCTGTAATAGCAATGAAACCCTAGTCGGAGAAGGGTGATGCTGGTGCAGACTCCTCTGTTTGATGCTGTGAAGTCAAGTTCAGCTTAGCACCTTCGTACAAGTGCTGAACAGGTGTGTAGGGCTCATGCCTTGATTATATAGTTATTTGTTTGGATGTTGGATGGTTAGAGTGTGTGAAATACAGTCAGACTGATTGTAATGTCTGTATTGGTGGTGCTGAACCAATTACCGGACTGGTTTATTGTTCTGTTTGGACGTTGTGTTGACTGAACCCCTTGTTCTCAGCAGTATTCCCTATGTTCTCAACAATATTTAATGTTCTAGTTTCTCACATTCTGATTGTGGCGGTTGTGTTGTTGGGTGGTATTTGGGCTGGTTTTCAATAGTATTCAATTGCAAGTCATGAATTAACTTCATCGAGGGCTACAACAACCCGCAGAACAGAGGGTATGGGAGGTGAAAACATGGTTGTTCCCATGCCAATTACCCCTTTAAACGGTCTGAACTACCTGGAGTGGGCTAAGAGTGTAAAACTCTATGTAACGGCAAGGGGTAAAGCTGG